TACGTAATATCATCAGCTGCACCAGACGTTTTCAGATTCGGGATAGTAGTAAAACGTGCTGTTAGCTGACTGTAAGTTCCCAAAACTATGAAGTTTAGCTAACAAAACTATTGAGTTAGCTAGCCCATGCAATAATGTTCGCTAAGCCGCTGCCAGGGAAATAATCGTTGCCATAGCTAATGTTTCGCTGCAACAACAAAATTATTTTTTTCCGTGTATTGAATCTAGTTTTGTCCCCTTTTAGCGAACCGCTTTTTGCTTTGTTATGTTCCCCCTGACCACTATGTTTTGCTAAGCTCTGCCTCTCTGGGCAAGGCCTACGTATGGCATTATAACCTACTTTAAAGCACACTAACTGAAAATTAAAGCTATATCATCTGCTCCCACGTTAGCGCAAGCTTATGTTTTTTTATTTACAAGATAAAGTGTTATGAAGTTGCACACAAAATCTTTGTATTCAGTTGTAATCCCTGTAAATGTAATCATAAGAATCTTGTGTTTTGTGAGCATCCAAAAACGTAGTGGCGCCCCCCTCGTAAGGCGCATGGCGTGACTTAAGGCGTGGCGCGAGTTTCTCACGTGACGAAACCTCCCCGCCGCCGCTGTAGACGGCCGCGTTCTCCGCCCCACAGACTCCAAAAGGGCCGATGTGTGAAAAGTCACGGCCCACCGCAACCTAATTTGGGCCACTAAAGTGGTAAATTAAGGGGGGAGCTTGGCGCGGCGGCTGCGCGACGTCTATCTCTGTCCCGGCGGCTTCTGCCCGGAGGCGGCCCAGTCAGGCTAATGAGAAGAGACGGAGTCCGCGCCGCGCTCGCTCAGCGTGGGGAAGACGGGAGTAGATGGAGGGGCATGCCCAGCCCGTGCCTCATAACAAACTAGCACGCTAAACAAAACTTTTCTGGGTCCAAGTGGCTATTCTTGAGCAGAGATGAATTTTCCTCTTCAAAGAAGGCGAAAGGGGTATGATGTTTGGATTAGCAAAAATTTGCCTTTGAATAAGAAAAATTTCTCTTTAAAACGATTAAGCATTTGAACACATTGATCTCTGCCGTCAAATTTACCCTTGGACTAAAGAAATGATGGTCTATAATCGTTCTCGCACTTCGTGATAGCCAAATCTGTTCCTAATATAGTTCGACACCGCACCACTGAAAACCTTTGAGTGAGGTGTCGTGCTCGAAATGAGTGAGAAAATTTTGCCTCACTCAATGAGAGCGATGACTTATTGATGACTAAAAAGCTCACCCTATTTGAGTCATATGCACCGGATTCTCACTCGGAAGGAGTCAGATTTCCCTGACCTCGCCCAACTGCACTAGGAAACCTTACTCTTATTATTGGGCGAGGATCGCAAATTCTGAATCAAATTGAGTGAGATTCAGACATCTCGCTCTCAGGCTCAGGAGAGTGAGATTGTTGGTGTCACTCATCTCACTCTCCTGAGAGTAAGACATCTGACTCTAGCATTTTCAGTGCACTGGTTGGGGCGGGGCCTCTTCCGTCGTGAGGCCTGGGCTTCGGCATTGACCTAGGTCGGCGGCGCGCCGGCCACGTTTTCATCCAGACAGACGCTGACGTCACAGCAGGACCGTTTTAACAACCGATCAGGCGAGGCCTCCGCAAATAGCAGCGCCGGCGGCGGGTCAACTGCAGTCTGCATGCTTTTCCTTCAGCTGGGTGGTCGCACTCGCACTCTAATCGACTTTTAAAACCATTGAAGACGATGTTGACAAATTCAACAAAATTCATGTATCATCCCCAAAAATTCACGTGTTATCCCTGTAATCACGTGACCCGGGGAATCCTTATTCGAAACCTGTACTGTACAACATGTTAATATTCTTGTCTTGACCGTGGCCATGCCATGACAAAGTTTGGGACTTTGTTTTGGGAGTTTTTATTTTTAAATGAGATATGGTTCGACGACAGTATTCTTTGCAGTGATGGGCGTACGCGAAAGGCCACCGCTCTGCCGGACCACCATAATGCATAGTGTCCAGTCCGCTGAGAGTTGGGGCGGGGCGGGGCGTGGAGGGGCGGG